TCCTGAAAGGCCAAGTCGTAGCTGCTACAGTCCCGAAAGGCCAAGTCCACAGGCTTCCGGAAGGTCCGGAAGTGGCCTTTCGAGTTTCTTCTCACGTTTTACACAATAGGCCAGAGGCAAGTGGGCAAGTGGTGTGTCCAACTTCGCTTAGTCAGCGGTACCCAGTCCCAGTCTCACTTTGCACAGTCAGCAAGTACCATGAGGGACTGTGTGCACCATCGGCCCTGTGGAAAGAGGCAGACCAACGAGCTACAAAAGTATATAAATCAAGAGGCAGCGCCCAGCCATTCATTGATTCTGCGGGGTGCCATGCGGAAGCGCTGCCCAAGCGTTTGTGCGAGGTGGTCTGCAGGAGCCGGTGGGCAGAGGGGAAGTTAGCTGTTAGTGGTAGAGTTAGGAGGCGGCCATAGCCGCCAGGTTAGTAGTAGCAATGTGTGTGTGTGTGTGTGTACAGTGAGTGTGCGGGTGTGGGGTATTCAAGGTGATCCAGAGCGGAGCGCGTTTGTGCGACAATGTTGGACACAGTGACGACAGTGGATGTACACGGCGCCTGTGCGCCATAGCTTGTGGGACGAAGTTTGCATCTGAACTGTGTTCACGACTTCCATATCTTTGAGTTTTGAGTGGGCGCCATCTGTTGTATGCATGCAAGTTGATGAATAAAGAGAGTCTGATTGCAAGACACTGCAAGGATAACAAAAGAACTCAACCAAGCTTGAGCCAATCTGTACCAAAATCATTACAGAGTTTATCCCAGTATCTCGCACCACAGAACTCCATACCCCACTCTCCCACTCACATCCAGTTAGTTGCGCTACACTAAAATCGCCTCTCTGAGGCCAGCGCCCACCACCCAGATGAAGATCAAGATCAGCGACGAAGTCTCCAGTGCCGAAGTAGGTACTCTGTCGAAGAAGCTGCAGCTATGGCTGCCGCGCCAATGTTTCTGCTGCTCCGATCACTCCGACGAAGTAGCAGCAGCAGTAGTCCACCCGCAAACCTCTGTGTAGAGCCTCCTGATAGCCCAGACAATCGCAATCACCCTCAGGGGTGAGTGCTAAGAGGGCGCCTCAGCTATGGCGGACTCTGTGAGTCTGGCTATGGCTGTCCACTCTGATGAGGGACTCAGGATGCCGCCTGAAGTCAATCGTCCCTTTCCTCCCTTGGCTCTGCTCCGCGTAGTACCACTGAAGAATGAAAATGCCAAAAGTCCTAAACAAACCTACGACAATCTATTAATAGAACTAGACTCTACCTAGACCAGGGCTGACCGGTACCGTTTCAGTTGGGCCTCTAACTACCCGGCTATAGGCTATAGGACTGCTGCTACCGGCCAAGGCCCCGAGGGCGTCCCGCCCTAGTGATAGTCCGAGCCTGCTATTCGCAGTAGAGGCTCTAGGGAATTCGGGTCTGCAAATTTCTCAAATTTACAGATATGGTTAGTGTACAGCCTCGCCAACAAAACCCAGCAGTCAAATCAGCAAGTCATTGCAGGCTTACCCCCTCGGTGAGCGAGGACCTCCGAGCTAGGCGTATAGACGAGGAGACCGGCGAGGAAGTAAACCCTTGTGAGCCGCCTCGTACTTTAAAACTACAGACTTTGCTGTTTTGAGAAGTTCTTTCCTGGTGAACCACCTGTCCTCAGTATGAGGCTGGAAACCAAGGATGTCACGCGGGGATCCCCGGGGCCAAAGTCGGGGCGGTGTTTTGACCCCCGGACCCCGCGGCGGGGGTCCCTGACCACCGCCGCCGGCGGCAGACCCCCGCCACCGCCCGACCCCGGCAAACCCCGCCCGACCCCAGCGAACCCCGCCCACCACCACCGCGGCCCC